TTTTTGAAAGGTTTGGATTTATCTCCCTGGCTTTACATTATTGAAGTGGAGAGATGTTACACTAGGTCTGTGTATCTAGTTCTGCTACTTTTGTCTTTATATGGTCAACATCATTCAGCAAAGTATACAAAATTCCAGGCCTTATCCTTATAGAAGAGTTTAACATGGTTAACGTTGTAAACATAGCAAATGTATATAAGTGACAAAAGTAGAATTTTAAAGAAATGTACATTATAACATAGGAACTCAGTACTACGTTAAGAAAATATGGGGCCGGGGATTTAGCTCAGTGGTTCGGTGGCCTTCCTTGCAAGAAGCTCAAGGACCTGAGTTCAATCCCTGGTACTGGGAAAAAAAAAAAGAACAAAATATGTTAGAACTAGGAACACATTTATTTGGAGAGAAAGTTTAATGGCTTAAAAAGTTATATGTTTTTTTAATTTAAAAAGGCTAAATTATTCTATAATTTAGAAAAAGTTTCTTTGAAGGATTTTTTTTTTAATTGATGTATTTTTGTGCCTTAATATTTTTTGCTTTTAATAAAATGCTTTGTGAAATTTTGGATTATTGATTCTTGATGAATCTATTAATGCTAGGCTATGAAAATCTATAGGAAATACATACTCCAGTAGATGGCAGAATGTGAAATTCTTTAAAGAGGAGGAATCGCTGATTGAACAGAAGTGGTTAACATAAATATTAATAGGGGAAATTTTACAATATGAAGTTAACACTATTATATAGGTTTGTAAAAACCCTTTGTGTCTGTTCAAATGAGCATACTCACTAATGATGGTAATGTAATTGACTCAGTCTTTGTGAAAGGAAATTCAACAATGTGTTTGTAACATCTGAATAATGTCATTTTTGGTGGGTTTTTTTGGCAGTACCAGGGATCAAATTCAGGACCCTGTACTTGCCAGGCAGGTGTGGTGCCACTGAGCTCTATCCCCCAACCCATGTTTTAGCTGACTTTTTTTTTTTTGGTACCGGGGGCGGTGGAACCACTGAGCTAAATCCCCGGCCCCCCAACTCATGTTTTAAAAGATGAGTCAAAATACATTATAAGGGGTCAGGAATTTAGCTCAGTGGTTCTGCCACCTGCCTCTCAAGTGCAAGGTCCTGAGTTCAATCCTTGGTACCGAAAAACAAAATGTACAGAATAAGGTTTCTGTACAGAAATGTTTATTACAACATTACCAGTAAAATTAGAGACAAACTGTCAAGAATAGAATAATGAATTATAGTTTTAACTACCTTCTGGACTATTATGCAGCCATTACATCATTATAGAGGATTTATAATAGAAAAATACATGTAAGAAAGAGGATACAAGGGTATGTATCTATACAAAAACAAAAATAGAGAAAGGGTTAGTGTATCCAGTGGCACTCATGGTTGTTGTTTAGGCTCTGCCATGATGTGGTCACAGCTTGGTCCCAATCTGATGAAGTTAAGACCAAAAGATGTTATCTCTTTACCGTGTAACACACCTGGGATAGAATAACCCTCCACATAGATTCCAAGGTTTACTTCCGTCTTGTAGACCTGCTGTCTTTAGCAAACTAGAAGGGAAATAACAACCTGAAATGTTGTGGGAGGTTGGGCCAGGAAGTGGCAAACAAGAATACAGTCCTTTGGTAAAACTTAGTCATTGGCCACATCAGATCGCGGGGAGTCTGAGAAGTGCCAGGGGGACCACACGCCTCCTGGTCTCACTCTGTGAAAGGAGAGCAGAAGAGCAGTGCCTCTGCCAGGTTGTTCAGGGGCAATAGACTAGACTGTGGGGGACTTAAAAATGTCTTCTCTGCCTTTTTATGTTTCCTGATTCTCTAAGGTAAACATACACTAATGAAATCCATCTTGCCATAAGTAGGTGGATCATGGCAACATTTCCTTATAGATATTCTCCTAGCCTGGAGTTGTGGGTGTGTATGTTGAGGGTGGTTAGTCCCAGAGGAAAAACAAAGACTTGTAATAAGTGGTGACAGATTAGAGAGTGTTGAGGTTCTTGCAGAGTCCAGGATTTGTTAACCATTGCACAGTAGCCAATGAGGTAGGTGCTATTATTTCCCAAGAAACCTGAGAGTCAGAGGTACTCTTCAGAAAGTAACAGGACTTTTATGATAGTGTCTGGAATCACCCTTGGAGTTCTGGGAGAAAGGAAGTTTCACTCAACAGACTCATGTTTGCTTGTTATAGGGTTCTGATAATGTATCTGAAGGTGCACAGACTTTCATAAA